CTGGGAATGGATCTCTCCTGTGCTGCCAGGGCTGCGGTGGCACTGGGGAATACCAGGACACTGCCCCATCCCTGCCAGGCTCCCAACCCCCAGGCCAGGAATTTCCCTCTGGATAGCCGGGAATGGAGCTCCTCCCTGCTGCCAGAGGTGCAGTGGCACCGGGAAACACCAGGATATGTCTCTGCCATCCCCCCTGTCGGGTCCCCAACCCTGCAGGGACACCAGGAGTGGAGTCACCCCCGGCTGCTCCCGCTGCCAGCAGACAAACCATTCCATCAGCATCCGCCGGCGCTGGAACGGATATGGAGTCACTGCCCTGAGACACAGACGCTTCCTGCCCCGAAAATAAAAGCTCCAGCCCTTTTTTGGGGGGGAATTTTGCTTATTTTTTTGGTAAATGCCTCAGCGTTTCTCTGCAGCCCCACGTGCTGGGTGGGACCTGCCCTGTCGTGACCTCCTCATGTCTGGGAACATGCTGGGGGCAGCCTGGGGGGGTTGGTTTGTACAGTCTGGTTGATCTGGAGTAGGGGGGGAACCTTGGATGGTATAACAGAAAAATAATCCATAAAATAATGTATTTTGTTAATTATATATATAAAATTGTATCTCCGTGGTGCGGGTGTAAGTGATTGCTGGTCAGCTGTGTGTTAGAGTGAGCATTGGTGTGGGGAATTGCTCAAACCCCACAAACACAGGAGAAAATTGTGTATGGACCCTGCTCAGCCCCTGCCTCCACTTGCCTGGGGTAACTGGAGGTTGCTGGTTGTAACTGGGGGTTGCTGGTTGTAACTGGGGGCTTCAGCCACAGGAATTGAATATAATGTGGTTGAATCACAGGGCTTGGCTGGGGTGGGAGTTGCTCCATTGGCTTTTATTCAACAAACTTTCAGATTAAAGTGTCATTCAGACACTGCACATCTCTCTTATCTATCTGTAGCAATTTCCAAGGCAAACACCAAACATCATGTTATCCCCTGACAACCCGGCGGGTGAAAACCCAAAGAAGATAAATTCATATTTTGAGGCAGCTGGTCCCCGGGTTCATCACACCTTGGACTAAAAGCTCATCAATCCAGTGATCAAAGGGGGTGTGCCACTGATCCAGGGTGGATTGTTCCATAAAAGCAGCTGGGAAATGAAGTTTTGGGACCTTCTGTGGCTGGTTCAGCTGCAGAGTGAGCAGGACACCAACCCCCTCACTCCTGGGGGGAGTTTTTGCTCTTTTCCCTCTTCTTGGTGTGCTTCACTGCTCATCTTTCCCCTGGCAATATTCTGTCCAGCTGTGATCCATCCTTGGCTGCAGCACATCCTTTATCTCCCTCCTGCTCTCCTTGCCTACCCTGGCAGCGACAGGGAGAGACAGCAGGACCTGGGTGCAGGATGAAAACGTGACCAGGCCACTGAGGTTTGGTACAATGACCCCTAAAAATGGCCTTAATGGGCACAAATTCTGCCCACTGAGTCGGTTTCAAGCTGAAAATGAATGTAAAATGAATGTTAAAAACGAGATTGGCTTTAGCCAGAGCAGATGTTACGTCCTGGAAGGCTGAATGGGTGGGTGGGTGAGCAGAGGGAGGGATGGATGGATGGATGGGATGGAGGGATGTGTGGATGGAGGGAGGGATGAATGGATGGATGGAGGGTGGACGGGTGGATGAATGGATGGATGGATGGATAAATGGATGGATGGATGGAGGGTGAATGGAGGGATGGATGGATGGATGGATGGATGGATGGATGGATGGATGAATGGATGGATGGATGGATGGAGGGTGGATGGAGGGATGGATGGATGGATGGATGGATGGATGGATGGTGGGGTGAGCTGCAGTGGTGGGATGTAGAGGTGGCCTCTGCTGTGCTCATTAGCTGTGATAGGCCATAAATGACTTTTCAAAGGGCTCCTGTGGGTACTAATGTGTTTCCCTTCTTCTGCTGATGGATGGGGCACCCGGTTGGGAGGATCAGAGCAGCTTCCTGGGTGGTTTTGGAGGGGGAATGGGTTTCACACCTGCCTGAGCACTACCCAGCAGCAGGTGAGGAATGCTGGAGCTGGGGAGGCCACAAATGAGGGGTGATCATTAAACTTTTTGTTGTCTTTGGCATTTTAATGCCTTGTGGAGCCCTTCCTCTCCCCGTGGGGGGTCTTGCTGCTGTAAGCAAACCTTCTGGGTGAAGTTTATTCCTCTACCAGCCCACGGCAGAGCTGAGCAGAGCCCGAGTCCAAAGGCTGAGCTTTGAGTAGGATGTGGGTGTTTTCAGCACCGAAATGCTGCTGTGGGGTTTATTTGAAAATAATAAATAAATGAACACGAAGTCAGGAGCCCAGCTTTGAGCAGGTTTCTCTGACACAGAGCCAAATTCCTTTCATGCTGGTTTTGGTGGACATGCACTGAGGCAACGGGAGAACCCCTGTGAGGGATTTCTAAGGCTGGGGCTGGGGGAGAAAGGGGGAATTTCTGTGGATTTCCCCACTGCTGAGAAAGCCACAGAGCGCTGCTACAACAGGGGATCCTTATCAGTGGATTCCAGTGGGCTTAGATCTGTGTCCCTCGGCATTTCCATCAAAATGGGCTTCCTGAAACCAGTCTGGAACAAACACATACCTGAGCCTTCCTATCAGCAACACCAAACGCAGAGAAGAATTTATGGGGTCGAAGCAGAAAGAGGAGCTACCCAAGGCTCCTCTTCCTTTCATTGCGGGGAGAGCCTTTGGAAAGCATCCTTATAAATCACCAGGAGCATTAAACACGTGCTTGAAGCTAAATGTGAGCTCCAGTGCTTTCCTGGGCGGGTGGGCTGGCCCAGGAATGGTCCCACAGCTGGTGACAGCGGTGCTGGGTGAGCTCCCGGTGTCTGGGAGGCACAGACATGACATTTTCCTCTCGGGTGAGTGAAATCGTTTTGTTGATTGCAGGAAGGTAGGTTTGGGCCTTCCCTGCTCAGCTCTTCTGCAATCCCGGGGCTGTGCCCGAACAGGATCCTCACCTGTTTACTTTGACTTTGAAATTGCGGCAGTTTAGACGATCTCAGCTACGCCTTGTTTATCTTCCCGATGGGCTTCGCTGGCCACCGTCACAGGGAAAGGGCTCCTGTTACCTCACAGTAAATAATTCATTATCACAACTGCTGCAGCCCTGGCTCTTCTTCGCATGTCCCGGGCTAATTTTAAAGTGAGGAGAGAGATTTTCCCGTGGTGTTCAGCTCGGGGGGAGGTTTGGGGGTGGAAAGGATGCAGGACCGGCCTGAAGCTGTGAGTGGTTCACAGCGTGAGGAATGGAGGTGACACATGGCCAGTGGCAATAAAAAACAGTGGCAGTGGTAGGATGAGGTACCTGTGTGCCCAAACTGCATCAAAATGGTATTTAATGTGTGTGGAGCAGCACTGAGACAGATCACAGCCAGGGATGAGCAGTTTGGTGCATGATTGTGTCGGTGACCTGGACTTCTTCCTGTCCCTGTTCCAGCTCCCCTGCGGGGCAGATGTCCTGGACAGGTCATTTGATGACCTCAGTCCTTCAAAAGCCAGATTGCAAGGCCAGCCAGGGGACTGTGACACCCGCCTGGGGCTCGTCCTGACCCAGAGATGCTGAGAGGGGGCACCGGGACATCCCACAGCTCCATCCCGTGTCACCTCTGCGCTCGGGGGGCACAAAGCCGGCAGAGAGGGACCTGTGCTGAGTTAGATCATCCCTGGCAGACATTTAGGACCTCCCCCTCTGCTCTGCCTCACCCCCGCCGGGCTGCCCTGAGCTGCTGGAAGCGGTGGGAAAATCCAGGTCTGAGCGCGGGGATGAGTAATGCCGCAGCTATCTCCCCCCTCGATCGATACGGTGTGTCCTCGCACATGCCAGAGCCCGGCGAGAGCTTTTGTTTTGGCTGCTCCGGGAAATAATTGCATTCTTTTAATATCTCAAAACAAAGATTTACCGCAGGGGCAGAGGGACCACACGGGAAGGTGCTGCTGAGTTATAACCAGGAACGTCCGTGAGGAGCCCTTGCGTGGGAGCCTCAGACAGACTTTTCCCCCTCCCTGGCTCTGTTGCTCCCTCCCTGCGTGTCCAGGAGGGCAAAACGTGGTCCTGTGGTGAGCATGGAAAGGCTGTGCTTGCCCTGGCCTCTCCTCTCCTTGATTTTGCCCTTAACACATGGGTTTTTTTCCTGTGTCCTGGGTGCGTTGTGGCTCTTGCAGCAAACCATGTCTGTGTATCTCAGCTGCACTTCTGTGTCCCTCTGTCCCTGCCTCTCTCCTGGTGTGAGACATCCAGGTGCTTTGCTCCACATTATGGAATTATAGAATGGTTTGGGTTAAAAGGGACATAAAAGGCTGTCTCATTCCAGCCCCCCTGCCATGGGCAGGGACCCTTCCACCAGCCCAGGTTGCTCCAAGCCCCATCCAACCTGGCCTTGGACACTTCCAGGGATCCAGGGGCAGCCACAGCTTCTCTGGGTAACCTGTGCCAGGGCCTCCCCACCCTCACAGGGAGGAATTTCATCCCAGTATCCCATCTAACCCTGCCCTCTAGCAGTGTGAAGACATCACCCACTGTCCTGTCACTCTGTGTCCTTGTCCAAAGCCCCTCTCCAGCCCTGACCCTCCCAGCGCTCTGATCCCGCTCCTCTTCCCACCCTTTGGGTGCAAGTCTCCCTGGATCATCCCCTGGAAAATCCTCAACTCCCCCCCCAGCCTACGGGACACCCCTGTGCCCCCCTTTGTGCCCCCCTTTGTGCCCCCCTTTGTGCCCTCTCCCTCCCTTGTCCCTGGATTTCCTCCGCGCACCCTCCCCGTGCCCGCAGTTCGTGCGTGCCCCGCTCCCTGGATCCCTTCTCCACCCTCGCCCGTGCATTCCCCTCTCCCAGCGCTGCCCGGGGGGGTCTCCCCGCATCCCGGGCCCCCTCCCCCGGTACCGGCCCCGGGCGGGGCGGCGGCGGCGGCCGCCAATGGGCGCGGGGGGGCGCGGCCCCGGGGCCGCCGCATTTATCGGCCGGGACGGGCCGGGACGAGCCGGGTGGCGGCGGAGCCGGGGCTGGGATCAGGATCGGGATCAGAATCGGGATGGAGCGGGCGGCGGCGCCGGGACCCGGGGCCGGTTCGGCGCTGGCCGCCTCGCTGGCCGAGGGGCTCATCAAGTCGCCGCGGCCGCTGATGAAGAAGCAGGCGGTGAAGCGGCACCACCACAAGCACAACCTCAAGCACCGCTACGAGTTCCTGGAGACGCTGGGGAAAGGCACCTACGGGAAGGTGAAGAAAGCCCGGGAGCGCTCCGGGAAGCTGGTAAGGATCCCCCCCTCCTGCTCCCCGGAGCATCCTCACCGTGCGCAGGTCCCTGAGCATCCCCCCCGCTCTGAGCAGAGTGGTCCCGGTGCATCCCCCTCCTTCCCGGTGCATCCCCCTCCTTCCCGGT